CCCCCCCCCCCCCCAAAAAAAAACCCGGCCGATCCGGGAACGCCTGAAAATGAGGCTAGTCGTGACCGGTGTGTAGTATCGCCCCTACAAACAGCACTAGCGGAGATTCCCTGATAGCGTCTAAATTTGCACGTAACGCCGATCGTATGTCTGGCCTGAGAGAGGCAGGGAAGTCCTCACGCGTGTCTTGATAAGGCAGGAGTGAAGGGGAACGCTCTGTCTGGACAGCCGTGTCCATGTAAGGCGGAACGGCCCGTAAATCGTCCGTCAGGGTGTCGAGATGTCAGGAGCAGACGGAGAGGTAGTCTCAACACCGGGCTTTAGAGTACCCCCCTCCCCAATTTGCTGAAGAAGTTCAGTTGTTTTTGTTCCCGTTTGTTCTCTGTGAGGACACAATGCAGGGCGCCACAACAACAGCAATATCAAAACACCTGCTGTGGATCCCGCAACATGGACTAATATGGCAAAGGTCTCTCTGATCCGTCATGCCATATACTTGCACGTTTAAGGTACTGTGATTCTGTCCTGACTCTGTCTGTCTGGCGTACAAGGGCGGCTCCGTCATGTCTGTCATAACTTATTTGGACAAAATGACGATTGGAAGATGGGATGACAGAAAACGCCTTATAGCTGTTTCCTTTACCAAAGTCCCCTGTGTTTCAACTCAAGGCCCTACTATGAATCCACTTGGCCCCTTCTAATAAACGAAGAGTACCTATTATTTGCTACGCTATTATAGATAACGATCGCCTCCCACAGAAATGCCTAACAATGAACATGTTTTGTGTAAAAGAATGTCAGAAAGCACGGGGACAGTTGCAGTTTTTCCTCTCCCAGTATTCCTGTAACAAATCATGTACTTTAATCGCCCACAGCGGGTTCCCATCACCCAGGCTGCCGTCTGTTTACACACGTCCGATCCGTCTTAACTAAGGGTTGTCATCAGACACAGGGAGGGACCCAATAGACGCTTTTAGAAGTTCTAAAAAGCTTGACGATAGACAAAGCTCCCTCCCCATCTTCCCACTTTCCAGAGAAAGAGAAAGGAACAGACATACACATAGGGATAGATAGGTAGACAGCGAGAGAGGGGGGAGGTAGAGAGAGACAGAGGGACAGAGAAGAGAGAAATATCTATGCAGACAGTTAGACAGTTTAGAAGTCCTGAAAAGCTTGTACATAGATAAAAGCTCCTTCCCAACTCAGTCATTTGCTGAGCTTCCTAGCACAATGCGGATAAATGCACGATCACTCCTAAGTCCACCCGTTCTTGCTGACTGACAGGTACATGTACATCTCTCTCTGACCCGGTGTCGATGTCCCGGCGGGTACGTTACAGGTAGTGTAGGTCACTCCAAGGTCGGATAAAGCTCCCCGGGGTTTAGGTAGGGAATGCCAACGTGGCCCGAGGAACCAGGAATCTTGACCCTTTCCTCAATTAGATCAATTTACTCCAGCCATATATCCAGACTGAATCACCCTGTATGTTTACCTGTGCCGCCGTCACCACAAGGGACAATACACGCAGTTCCCAATAGACTGAATAGAGAGAGGGTTTCCCCACATTCCTAGAATGTTACAGACGTTGTTAATGGCGAATTGGTTGAAACGCTGTGATCAGTAGTCAGGTAAAAACTCAGTGAACAGCAGTGTTTACATGTACCAATAAGGAGCAATTCTCGAAGCTACACTTGAAGATATTGATTGCATAATCGACACAAATACCTGACACCGTGATGAACTTATTGAAGTCAAACCCGGAAATCGGTATTGTCTCATCCCCCTTGAGACCCTTTATATAACACGTGCAACCGCGTTCCAAAAAGAACATTTAGTTTGGCAGCGGTCACGCTATTTTAAGCGTTTCTGAAACTACGGTGACACTGACAAAACGAGCGTTTTGATCGGATGCGGTCAGGCCATGTTAAACGAACCCGCGGCCGATGAACCTGTCGTTTCCGATCATATCCGACATTTGCCGAGAGTAACGGACGTAGAATCTTAAGAGCCCATGGCGCAATGGCAGCTGGGTAGACAGATGTCACTTTTCACAAGAAAAGCCGTACTTTGGGAATGTTGGGTTTTGCTGTCACTATAAATAGGCAAAGGCCTTGTACTTTATGGGTACCACATGTAGCTTCGGGATAAACTCTCAGTGCATTTGTTTAAAACAAAAAACTAATATTTTTCAGAAAAAAAGCGTATCTGTCTCTCCTCTTGTTGCCTCGTTTTTGGTAACCTTAATCGAGGGTTGTTGCAAACCCTAATTTAAGTCAGACACAGAAAATGAGCTCGAGGTAAACTTGATGGTCACGGAAACCCAAAATACTTGCCCGGAAATCAGAAATCTCCGAATTCTTGTTATACAATTTCTACATTTGCCGCAATAGGAAGAGGTACACACATTGGCACGCACTCAAACCAAACAGAACCATTTGCCTTTGACAGATGGGGCTGATCAAGGTGAACAACGAGCAGATGCTGATCGAGCCGCTGTCGCAGAGAAGGCGGTACTTCGGCGGGAGACCACACCGGGTTTACCGAAGGGAGCTGCCACAGGCTTCGGTCACACAGTTCTGCGGCACTGAGACAGGTAACGTCACAACAGTAAGGTTGCGTAGATCTTGAAGGAATCGAAGGTATTGAAGGCATCTTTAAGTACTTCGATGTCCCCAGCATAATGTCTCTCAAGTATACTATCTCCTGTATGATAAGTCCCCAGCAACTGAGTGTCTTTAGTAATAGTTTCAATGATTATATATAAGCTGTCCGTCTTTGTCCTCGCCATAGCTAAAAAGTTGATTTATCGCATTGTGTTGACCTTTCTTTATGAGGAAATGGGAATGTTCGTACGCCACAATCTCCGAGCGATCACTGTTTTCCTTTACATTATATACATGCAAATTATTTCAAGACATATGCAAATTATTGGTAGGGAAATCAAGAAACCGTTTTGCTTACCACTCACTGTACTTGATGTCATGGCGATTGCTCTTATACATTCACGATTTCTTTTTCCCTTTTGCCACAGACGACAGAGGTAGCGAAAGTGACGAGCCGGGGTCTCGACAGACTAAACGTTCCGCCGTGAACAACATCGACGCGCGGCAGCGGACGGTGGAAGCGCTGGTCGTGTTGGACAAGTCTATCGTGAAGCATCACGGGAGAGCCCTGGTCAAGACCTACGCCCTCACGGTCATGAGCATGGTGGGTATCACACCCGAGTTTTACACTTCCCATGGGGTCATTTGTAGGACCTTCAGTGATTCATTTTGACATCATATCAAGGACGGTTAAATAATGATGATAAGTAGAAAAAATAACTTGGCTCACCGGAATTTTCGACCGAATCTCTCGTTGTGCATCAGCTATCTAACCCAAGCGCTGTAGGTCGATGAAGGTTAGACACCCAGATAATGAAGTACACAAGGAATTGTTACTCTATCAACTGGACAGGTTTTGAAAGTGCTGTAGACACGTGATTCTTTCGCACATGTGGCATCAGCACTGCGTAAAAGCACGTCGGAAGTCGGTACCGCCCCCTGGTTGAGAGAATGTTGGTGTGTCTGATATAGGTGGACTCCTGAACTCCTATCACAAAATATCGTCGTTCAGTGTCCGTAGTCACTGCTTTCTTGACTAACTGAACAAATTCTAAAGTCAGGCTTTGCTGTGCATATATATGGTTTGCCCCTAGGCCACTGACTGCCATAAAGTTAAAACCTGTTCTTAAGACCCAAGTTCAAGGTTGACTCTATCTAAACACGGTGGGCGTTAGCTTGTGTAGTCTGCGTTGACTCATCTCGGGCCGTTTCGCGTGGTAGAGACAATGGTTTGTGACAGGAGTTACGGCAGGTCGCGTCTCCCTATTTCACCTGTTCTTGAATCAATCAAACCTCAGGTCATCGCGTGCTGCACTGTTCACTGTATGTACGGCGGCGCAGAGCGCTAACATGGGGCTTAGCGAACAGAACATTGATGACGGCTACAGAAAAAGATAACTTGTTGTTCAGAATTCGTTCCGCCGATGCAGTTTCCTAGTTAAAAAAAAATTAAAATCAGATTATCCGAGCCAGACAGGATTCGAACCTGCAATCTTCTGATCCGAAGTCAGACGCGTTATCCATTACGCTACTGGCCCACCTTGTTACAAGGGTCAACGCCTCCGACAGACAAATCAGATACTAGTATACATCTTTACCTTCTTTACGCTGATACAGTGAACGTCTTTTACGTCTGTAATATCGTAACAACGAAACTTGCAAATATGAATATGGTGTTACTCTGTTCCGAATGATGAGTAGTTTGTAAAGTTTTGCTAAGTGTATATGCATATATAGAGTATTTTGTATTGAGGACGCGATTCGGACACCTCAGGCGCGCGAGCAACTTCAATTTCACTTAAACTTCAGCGCAGAACGTCTGTTTCAGTGTAGGAGAGAGATTGTCCTCACGGGTGGTAAAGTTTGAACATGGGTTGTCTGACATTTGACATCCTCAGGAACGAAGATACCTAGCTGTGGCTCTGTAATCTGGGTCAGTGAGGTGTCGGGTCGTGACACCGGGGCAGGGATCAGGTAGAGCAGGGGTCAACTCTGAAGGGTCACGATGACGCAGTGATACTGAGTACCCTTCTCCACGGGTCAACGGCAGCATGGAACACTGAAATACAGCCGGTACCCCCTCCCACGGCAGCAGGCATACAAGTCTGGTCAGCTTTTGAAACTAGTCTACACAGGCTTTAGGCACTGTTCAATTTTCTCACATTTAATGTACGTTCTGTCTGTTCGTTGCGAAACCTGGAAAAGCACAAGTGACAAGAGTCATTGTCGATGTGTGTCTATTGTCACAGAAGTAACTGGCTTTAAAATGCTTCTATTTGAGTTTTGTCATAATTAGGCCACACCAAGTAAATTCTATGGATGACGTCCGCGCGCGCATTGATTTTGGCCTGTTCCTAGAAAAAAACAAGAAATTCCGCTTCCTGTAACTATGACCAAAGAGTCACGACAGTGCCGCAAATCGTCAGATTTACGTGAAACCCGTAACGCGAAGAAAGTGTCTATTACCATCCTGTTTTCACTGTTCACTATTCCACCTGATTTATTGCTGTTTTGATGATGAATAAAATACTTCTTGCTTGTTACACTGTGTCACCTCATTCAATTTGTGTCCTAACATTTGTCGTCTCTTAGTATATTTCTAATCTAGGCATCTTGTTTTTTTAGGGCCCTTCTTGTTTTTTTCGCCCTCTCGCATTAGACTTAGGGTCTCCAAAGGACGTCATCCATAAAATTTACTTGGTGTGGCCTTAGATCTAATTACCCGGCTTACATCGTGCCGCTTCAACTGTTGCTTTAACCCAAAACGCTTGGCAACAGTCTGCGCCATTCTCGGAATGTAGGGGGAAACCCTGCCTTTATTGGGAACTGCTAGTGTGCCTTACTGGACAGTCCCCTTTATCTTTCCTTTTTGGCAGTGACCGTTTTGTCTTCGCGCCCACAGACACAGCTGACTGTACACGCGTTTAATGGGTTTTCCATGGCAGTGTGCCAAAGGCTCACGGTCTGTGATGACGGGAACTCCGCCGAGGTATTTCTGCAGCTCGGTTTTCTGTTGTGGCACGCTGCCATGGCAACAGATTTCCGTCTCATGGTGCTGGAACATTGATTTCTCAAATGGAAGGAAATGAGGCATATTTGGGGAATACATGAAAATAAATGTGGGTCACCAGAACTCTCTAGATCTCGTGACATTCCAGATACCAAAGTGGCTTTTGATAAGAACAACCAGTAGTACAGGAATCAACAGCTTGCATATCACAGCAGTTAAAGTTGTCCTCACATAGCTCTTTCCTTGGATAAAAATCAAATGCAAAGAATTTTGTTTCTGTATTTAACATGACATGGGATATGTTCTGAAAAGAAGAATATGGGTAACTTTTACGAGAAAAATCTTGATGTGTTAAAATGTTGATGTGTGATTTTCTCTGTGCAGGTGAACTCTGTCATCAGCCTGCCCAGTATGGGACACAACATCAACATCGCTGTCACCAAACTCGTCATTCTGGAGGAAGACCAGGTACGGCCATGTCCGTGTGTTTGTTTGCTTGGCTGGCAGGGCGAGCTAAATGTCATGTCGAAGAGACCAGGAGCTTTTAACTGTGTGTCACGGCGGTTTCTCATTCCTAATCCGGAGATACGGAGGACTTTATAATACTACGTATGAAGATTATAACTCTTATTTTGTTCCCAAGAGGAGGAAAAAGTGACCAGTTTAAAGCAGTACCCAAGGCGATTTGTTCTGTGATTTACCTGAAGATAAAACACACTTTCTTCTAGTTGATAAGAGATAATGATATGTCTTTTGAACTCCACCTTCAGGTAGGTCTGAAACTGGCTCACCATGCTGACAGCGCCCTGCACAACTTCTGTCAGTGGCAGAGGGAGAAACTCCCATACGTCTCTGCGGTAGACACCGACACAAACGAGGTCATAGGTCATCGGGACAGGCCTAGTCGTCACGACGCCGCCATCTTGTTGACAAGGTCAGCGTCAGTGCCTTTGTATGAATTGTATCAACAATTGCCTGTCGTTTATACACAGCCATTATGCTATATGAAGTACCTCAATCATCATCAAGTTTTTGCCGCTCGTTCGTTCCAAACTTGGGTGTCGAATGCGTCACCATATAAATGAAAACTAAGCAGACGTCAGGAGGAAAAGACTGAATGAAGCAATTAAGTGAAGTGACCCAATCCTTAACCGCACAATGTTACAAAATATTTCTTAGAAAGAGAACTCTATCCGTTAGAAAGAGCTCACGATACATAATCATAATACGATTATACATGTAGGTTCACTCTTATTAGCACTAGTCCAATTCATGTCACCAAGGTGGCCAATTATTTGGCACACATCGTCATCACACATGATATCCAACTAGTTATTCCCATCTTGGCCCCGGAAAGCATTTCTTGTTACACAAACTGTGATGGTTGTTCCTGGTCCGCCCCTCTAGTGTGCTCAGACCCCCGTTCTTGATCATGACGTGACAGCGAACGTTCTATTCAAGTCAATTCCTGAGCTGTTGTCCGTCTAGCCTGGGTGCCTGACCCATGGCCATGGCACACTGCTGGACACAAAATATCTCAGTGAGCATGAGATACTTTGTGTACTATGGGTCTGGCACCCAGGCTATTGTCAGTCCACCACCTGTTCTTCGCCGTGGCCCTCTGAACGCTCGATGATTTACTATCCTCGTTCCTTTCCTTGTCAATCTCCTAGATAAAGGAAATCTTGTTTTGCTCCTTAAGACGCCATGAAACGTCTTGGAAGGATCTAGTTCTTAACGCCCTAACGCTGAGTATATAGCGTCTTACATCCATGTCTGAGCCCCGAAGGTCAGTTTGTGGTTCTCGGAGAATAAAAACCTTGAAGACTTCTGTCGTCGTCTGCACTGACCTACCCGATCCGCGAGGTCAGAGGTTAGGGCCAGCGCCATACATCGCCCGGATAATCACCGCGAGGAATGCCGCACAGGAAGTCACGTGACCACAGAGCTTTTCTGGCTGTCAGTTGGTTCTTGTATCAAACGGGAATCTTTAATAGCCTATTTCTATGATGTAGTACAGAATGCTTTCAAGGTTGTTTTTCAACAGTAGCCTGCCACACCAAGGTCTTCTGAGGACATGTGCACATTCTACGCATTGAAATGCATGATAAACGGTTGGATGTTAAAAGTTACATGTTTTGCGAGTTCTACTTTTCCGGCCAGACATAAAGATTGGGGTAGCAATTTGCGGCCAGCTTTCTTCATGTGACATGTCATCTGATAGGGCGATGCCTGTTTCGCTGTAATTTACTAATACGGTTTTACAAATCATCAGTGCTGTGCCTGAGGACATTTGTATATCTGCAGAAGGTATGTGACAGTTGCAGGATTGTAACACATGTGCGATAATTCTCTGACCATCCTTATCATAGCTTTAGTTATATCTCTTCTGACAGAAAGAGTTAGTGAAGATGTAAAGAGCAGATGGCAGGCTAGAATGTATCAACAGTGCCAGTAGCATACGTTTGGGTTTCATCCAGCTGTAGATGCGTCGTGGAGTATAGTTTAGATATAGATATTTACAAAACAAACGGTAATTAATCTTTTTTCACAAGGTCACTATGTTTTGCTTACCGTCAAAAGTTTTGAGGAATTGGTTACAGAGCAAAGTGCTTCGCAACATTCGTATCTTGAACAAGTTACCTGCACAACTACATCCATTGCAAGTCCACACAACTTTGGCAGAGTTATAACTGTAATTTAATGGTCAAGAGTATTTGTACAGCTGTAAATGCAGGACGAGAGTATAGAAAATGGATCAGGGAGAACATCTGATGACCATCACATTGCTCCCTCCCTCACCAGAGGTGATTTATCCTTCTGATGGAGGCCAGAGCATCGGTACGGGATGTATCGATACAGCTATCGTATCCAGAAGGCAAAACCGTGCATATCTAGTTCTATGTCTGAATGGTTTAGGGCTAGGATCAGGATCAGGCACTGTTCTGGAAAGTCTCCGCGTATCCGTGTAAATTTTGCTCAGAATCTGTTCTGGATACGCGTGAACTTTCCAGGACCGTGCCTGAGCATGGCTCTAGAAAAGCACAGTTCTGAATACAGCAACACTTATCACCACAGCGGCTTAATAGGCTGTGACATGTTACTTTCTTAATGGCACGCCTTAAGGTGGAGCCCTGGCCGCCCATCTAGCCTGGTTATCCTAAGCAAGGTCGACCAAGGTGAAGGTCATGACACATGTCACCTGCCGGTCTTAGCTGTACGACCATGGGAACAGCACGTGAAGACTTTCAGCTGTTGTCCTGGTACATGTACTTCTCCGGCCCTCTGTGTGCTTTCATTTACAAGCAGACTCAAGAGGATGGATTCAGCTTTTGTAGTGTGCGTTTTGATTTCCCCGGTGTGTTTTATATCCTTTTATCTTGTCTAGAGTCACCTCATAATCGCGAAGCTCACGAATCTCCTTAAAGAAAACACTTCCAGTCTGTTCCGCTGAAAGATGAGCTAAAGCTTGATCTCGTGTCAGCTATCGTACTTTAAATGGCCAAACACGGAAATTTAACTTGGTGTGCAGGTAAAATAGGTGCTGAATAGGTCCCTGCTAAAATAGGTGACAGCTCCAGGGGATCTTGCGGCTAGGGTTGTTGCGAAAGGTCTGGATTCGAATCCCTGGCAGGCCACATTTTATGTCCTTGGGAAAGGCACTTTACACTTTCTTCAGTTGACTAGTGAAAATCAGTACCTAACTTCGGTTAGGGAATCTCTTTCTTATAGGACGAGTAATGCTTGAGGTCCCGTGTTGAAGGAGAGCCACCCCTTGAGCACGTGAAGATCCCACCACACTTGTCAATAAGAGTTCCACGATCTCATGCCTTCGCCAAATCATGTTAACCTTTTCTCAAAGATTATGGAAATAAGAGCATCGTTTGCATGAATTATATCAGTTGATCATATTCAATTTAATTAGAAATAAGTCTGTTCTAGCCTTTCCTCATAAATTATGCAAATGAACTCGTGATTTCAATTATGTTTAGTGATGTTCACCTTCACTAAACTTCCAAGTACATTGTATTAAGTATTGAATTCTCAGCAGTTACCACTATAAAGTTATAGCAGTTTCCCATTAATTATGCAAATTAGGTCTTTATTTACATAATCAAGATTTGCCAAAATCTCTATCCTTCACAGTTACATAGGTCACAAGTATTTCACAGTCCTATTATTGAACACAGCAGATTTATAGACTTTTCTTAATAATTATGCAAATAAGATCCTGATTACATGATTGCAATTTAATTATGTCAAACATATCACTTAAGCTATCTACATACAAAAAATCACGACGATCTCGGAGATTAAAAAAAAACGTTCTACAGTTCCAGAACAAGCTGCTAGGGGGCCCAAACAAGAGCTATCTACCAGCCAAAATCCGTGACCCTGGCATGTCCAGATCGCGAGATATCAAAGCCGGACGTTCCGCTGCAGTACCATAACAAGCCGCAAGGAGACCCAAAATTTAATCATTTCTAGCTATAGGTCTCATCAACACCTACATGTACCCACCCACCTACCAACTTTCATGACAATCCATCAAAAGCTTCTTGAGGTATCGTGCTAAACCACATACACACATACGCTACGTAAACATAAACCTTCTTGGCGAAGGTAAAAATAGCAGTTGTCCCTCCCGCTGTGAGCGGAGCAAACGTTGCAGTCTTTCTCAGGGTTGACATCTTGAAGAACTCGGTGGTCGGGAGAAGGTGCTGAATGTGTGACAGGGGCTTGCTGGTCAGTCAGTCAGTCAGTATGACTGCCTTATGGCGAAACACAATAGCTTGGCATGTACACGCCATCGTAGTGATCACAGGCAACAATTGAATGGTAATCGACAATCCGCACATACCTCACTGTTAAACAAGGGATCTCGTTGCTGCCTATTTGTACCAGCAAGAAGGCAGTTTAGACAAATAACATTTGGCGTGTCAAGAAATGATGGATACATCATGGTAAAACCTAGCGGCGGCTTTGACTACCTTGACAGCTAGCCACAAAGTTGTATTTTCGGTTTGTCCGTGGTGGAGTGACTGGATGTAGGCGGCATAACTCTTGAAGCCATGGAAGAATGTTCATTATTAAATTTTAAGAGACGAAGGTCAAGTTCGAGAATGGCATTATGGCGGATTCCTACGTTACTGCAATGGACCTTTTGCTGTGAATGTCATTTTTATTTTCTATGCAAATGTAAGGGTTTCATTTAACATTTAACATTTACCATCCAATAAGTAGTTGGTAGATAGTTGAGAGTTAGCATCAGCTGCAAGTTGGGCATTCTTCGTGTAGAATGTGCGTTCACTCCAGTGAAGGTGGAAACAATTGGTGAGAATGTCAGGCCTTCCTCATACATTGAATAGCTTCTGCAGCCGCCGGCTCTCTCTCATGTATTTGGTTTCAACTATGCTGGGCGTCTAGACGGAGTCTGCACGAGTCTTAGGCACGCGGTAAGGTGATAGGAGTTGGCCAGAAATCAAGTGAATGGGCAATAGGCATGGCAGCGATGGCATTTAGGTGGAGAAAACTTGATGACTTTTGATCTTAAGAGGTATACATTTTAGGGTAGTAAAACGGGATTTTCAAAGTCAATGTTGTGGCAATATAGTAAGTATTGATATAGTAAGTCGAATAAACCCTACCCCACAGCATGCATTCTACTTCAGAAGTAAGGAGATTTGAGTACAGATAAGATATATATTGATGATTTTGATCATCACGGTTTTGAAGAGGCAGGGATCATGAGCGTACTGAGGACGACAAGAAAACGTCTTCTACACACACACACACGCACACACACACACACACACACACACACACACACACACACACACACACACACACACACACACACACACACACTACTACTACAGACACACACACGTATATACACAGGGTCTGAAAGAATAAATACACATAATCCTATGGCAATCCTCCCGTTTCCTGTACGCTCTTATCGCCTGCTGAAAGTGTCAATTTTAATCAAGCTCAGCAGGTCCACCTGCCGTGATGATGTCACGAGGTTATCTTAAGCTTCATCGGATGTGAACACCTCGACCAGTAGCCGCTGACTCCTCCCACTGAAGATACGGGCACGGGCGCAATTTATGAAGCTGTCACTGCATGCACGCGCAGCTTGCGGCTGCGTTGGTAGGATATTGGAAAAAACTATCGTATATTCCAACTATGCACAGGTCTTGAATGCATAGTTGATAGTTTTGAAGCAAAATTCCTTCATTTTACCATATAGAAAAACTACATTTGTCCAGTGCTTGTGAGTCGTGTAGCCTCTTCTGTCCCTGTAGCACACCTTTACTTTGATGCTAACTGTTCGCCAACAAAGCTGACTGGCTCTTCAAAGACCAAGTGGCACATCGCTCAGCACCCGCTCCTGTATAACCAACCTTCCCTTCACCATTCTTCACTGGTTCAACAGGGTCGCAGCCACAGAGCTGTTTCTCAAACAGATCAGGTGATCCAGAACAAAAGCCCCCGCAAGATGTCTCTCAGGAACGCTTTGTTGTCCTGGAGGAATCCACAGGTAAACCTTGTGTAAACTTGTTAGCTGTCACGTCCTGACGGATGTTCCAGGTATAGTGTACAGGTGTTCCCACTTTTTAAACGGCAGCTTTGTTCACGAAGGTCTGGGGGCAGTTCGTGGTTCATCAGCGTTGTAGTCGGAAGGTGACATTGTTTGTTTTGACAGCAAACATCAGTCAGGTAGACCAGACAATTGTTCCCATACCTACAGCCAGACAGGAACTTTCTCACGTTAGTCATATTTGTAGGTCGCTATTCAGGGCCCACAAGTATTGAGCGATGTCATCGGTCATTCTGGCATTGGATTAGCAGCTGTCACCCTACACCATTAGGTTTTTCTCTGGATACCAAATTATTGTTACCTATCTTGTAAATACAATGCTATTAAACGTATCATGCGTATCATCCAACATACTGCCAGTGACATTGGTACGGTTGAAATCATACGGTCATACTGGTACGTCCATAGGTATACCAGTAAATGGCGGTTAAAAACAGATTTACATATTTGTTATGCACAGAAATAAGTAGTTACACTATTGAGATTTCTTTATAATACAAACACTCAAAACGCTTAAAAGCACTTCATTAGAGCAAACAATCCCAGCACCTTGAAACGGTAGACCCTTGTGTCCTCCGTGCCCAGCCCTTCCCCGGAGCTCGTGTCAGGTTCCTGGCGTGTTCTCCTCCCCTACCACCGTGTTGGGGTCAACACAAACAGACGCACTTCTAGTGGTAATAGCTTTTTCATGTTCAATTGGGCGTGAAAACAGCATGCTTGTTTTCTTAAGGCACCGGTACCACACACAGGGTTGTCTAATGACTTCTGAAGGAAACGTTTGCCTACCTGTTGTTGTTTTAGGGAATTGTTTGCTTACTTAGAGGCTCTCAATGCGAATTCATCCATGTGGATGTTCAACTTAACATCCAAATGTCGTCTGTATAAAACATTGGTGCCAGACTGTTGCCTGAGCCAGATATTAGAACAGGCTAAGAAAATTTAGCCTGGATTCCCGATCGGTCAGGATCAGTATAAAGGCGAGCTCCTCGGGACTAGGACCAATAAATTTGCCACAGAACGCATCAGTTAGACCCTGAGCAAGCTTCTCATGGTCTAACTGTCTGACATCCAGGCTAGAGAAATTCTACACTCAGTCCTATCCCGGGAGGCCGGGTACGTCGTTGACACAAACGTAAGTTGAATGTTCAAGGACATCCAGCTCGTAACCTCTATTTCAAAACAAAATTACGGACAAGTTGTCCTTGACCCGGATGTGGACGCCACGGGCAAGACTCCAAATCCGGCCAAGGATGACCAAACAAATATACAATCAGGCAGACAGCAAGGGCGATCAAACGAGGTAATATTGTTTGTAGACAAAACACGAGGTAAACCAAGGATCTGTTCGGCTAAAGTGGCCCCTGCAAACCCGCGGTTTGGCCACTGTTGGCGCCCGTAGGCCTTCAGCGGTGTCGCGGCCTGGGTCTGGTTAGGGGCTGGTACATGCTCCCTGCGAGGTCGATGATTTCTCAGCGGATGCACGGGAAATGATTCTGCTGAGATAAGGAGCTTTGGCGCACCAATATATCGTTAGTGCCGCTGTTACTGCCGCCAGGCGCAGTCATGCCCTGTCTTACATAACATATGACCTTCATCAACTTTGGGTTCAAGGTCAGCCGAGGACACGATCAATCATTCACTCTAAACAGACTATTTAAAGCAACATACGGTAGAAGAGAGTAAGGAAATCAATATATAACGCTTTAATGAGCATGTTTTACCCATACTTCAATCAGAGATGCTTTGATAACTAATTCATGATCATCCACATTGTGGTTTTCCTCCAATGCTCGTTGAAAAAAATCTGATTGGTAATGGTTTGACGTACTTGATTGTGAAATTTAATGGAGAAAGTGCTGTTGTAAAGTAACTATAATAACTAGACAACAAGAAGCATCTGCATTAGTTATGGTCAACAAACTGCGGCACGTCAATGGCAACGACGTCACATGCGTCTGACATGCGCAGGTGATCACGGTTATCCCAGGGTAGAACTGATAACATCCTTGACTTGTCACTCATACCAATTGTCAAAGAGAGACATCTGTTTAAACATGCACCGTACAAAAATAAACCTGCAGGAAATAGATGGAGGTATGTTTAGGGAAACATAATGAAGATGTCTTCTGTCCTTTAAAAGGTGTTCCGAAGTTTCATCCGACAAAGTACGACAGCTGTTTGGCTTCACGACGCGGACAAGTTCGTCGTAGGACGTCGTACGATTTTGATGCCGTGGAGTTTTCAAGCAGGCTGTGATAGAAATAACCACTGGCAAAGACCTGAGGCAGCATTTCCCACTACAGCTAAATTTTGCAGGGCACATGCAAGACCCAATGATGCCGTTTGCGACGAGGCTCTTACAATCAGACTCTTACTTACAATCTCACAGCACGATCGAGTGATTGATCGCAAAGCTTAAGAATCCGATGACCTATGACACTTACGACATTCATCACCGTTCAGTAAAAGTAGTAGAGTATTAAAGGCCCATCTTCAAGCTTTAACAGATTATCAAAAGTTGTTTTGAACATTGATGGGTGACAAATGATCATGAGTTTCCCAAATTGTAATGTTTGGATTTCCCACCATCTATAGACTCACCGTTGCTTTCCCAGCCCTCTTCAATTAGAAGGTTTACTCCACCGGTAGGCGAGCCTGGCGTCTGGGCAGGTAGAATAACATCAACACGAGGTGACGGACGGTGGTTAAGCCTCCATAGATTTTTAACAGGAAGATTGCGGGGTTCATTACAAATCACAGGCTTTGTCCCAGACATGTCGCTATTAGACCCATATCAATCAATACATGATGTGGGTGGAAAAGATGTGCAACGTTGGAACATTAGCTTTGCTGTTTACAGTAGCTGATATTTAAACTGACACATCAAAGAGTCTTAGTTTTGGGATTATTTTGATAACAACCTTTCACAGATAACATTGTCAGGCCGTTAGAAACCTTGTAATAATTAAACTAGACAAGATTCCATACATCAGTGCATCATGCTGATGTGTGCATCCTATGCAATTTCAGAGTGGCGAAAAAACTCTAGATGAGGAAATCTCTCGCAGCTTTTTGGAGTTTTTGAAAGATGGCAGCAACATTGGGTACATACATGTACATATGGCCGAAATTATAGACAGCTGTTGGTATAAACACCTAAAACTTTGTGCTAATGTAGCATGTCATTCATTTGTTTGAGGCAGGTTAGAGATCCAAACTCTTATAGACAAATGACTAATTGTCATGATTTTATTATTCTTGACGATGTGTCGCGACTACCTTGTAAAAGAAACATATGACGTACTTGCTGATCGTCTCCTGATGTTCTTTATTCACAGGAAGGACATCTGCAAGGACAGGGACGAACCGTGCGGCACTCTGGGTAAGTAGCCGACGGCCTTTGTCAGTGGAGTTTCTTATTTACCTACTATTTTTGGCAAGAACACCGTATTGCCTTGACGACCTTCACATCGCTGGATCATTTCACATGCACATAAATTGTGTTGAGTTCTTTTATCATCGTCTAAGTCATAATTACTAGTGAAATGCATAAATCTTGTTTTCTGTCGACTTCTTTACGAGTTTTGTCAGATGGTTCTGTAACCGTAGCCGAGGTTGCACGTGTTCTCATCCAAAACAAGGCAGTAATTCAAATATATGGCCGCTACCTATCTTTGATTTTCGGCCATTTGGTGAACACCAATTGCCTTAATGAAAACAATATACCCCTTCAGCCTTCAGTATTCGCGCGACTGTCGGGTTGAATAAGTAAGTGCTGCTTTTGGCTATCGTATCGTCGTCACGTGCAAGGAATGTCCTAACCGCAAAGTCCTTTGAACTAGATCAAAGTACGAGGATCAACACGGTTAAGTAGTGGCGCTTAAAATGTGCAGCTGTAAAAGCAGCATCAGCGGGTGTTGCTTTAGTATTGTTTGCCTTCTGACGCTCCATAGAAATACTAAAATAAGTGGCGAGGCTGGAAGCGGCGTCCTGATCTTCCCCGGGCCCGCCGGAGCACGAGCTCGTCAGTTCCGGTGTTAAAACAAACAAACTCGAGGTCAGAGGAGACGTGTCCTAATGGTCCGGCACTTGGCGTTGTGTCAACACTTGGTTCAAATGAACCCCCGAGCGTCAAACTTGGACATAATCCAAGCAGTGCTGATTTGTACACTGAGACTGCAGATGTGGCTTAATTTGAGTCCTTCACAAATGACGTTTTCCTCAGAAGATTGGGATTGTGAACACTTTCTGCGTCACACTAGGCTTCAAGTCTTCACTTGTAGACTAGCAAAAGAAGACAGTCTCTACCTCATTACAATCTCCTGAAACTACAGCAGCAGCTGCCATAAACAAAGTGTTGTGCTAGCTGCAGGAAGGTCTGTGCAAAAAGACTTCGCTATGTGTCCAGAAATCTTTATGACTGAATGCAAGGCATGCAGCTGGAACATAAGTAGAAGGATCTGAAGTATGTGTCCTCAGTTTTTCTTTGCCGGGTTAGTACTTCCCCTTCGCGGAAATACTAAGAAGTGTAAATCCCCCGGTATGACATGTTATACGCACTTTTCATTAGACTGCATGTATGATTTGCAGGCTTACACTAAGTTACAGCGGGGGTACACGGTCCTTAGGTAAAGTTTAACTTTAAACATAAAAGCATTTTTGAAACATTGCAAAAAGTGATGAATATGGAGAATAATAACCGGTGAATATGGAGATATAATGACCAGTAAATAGAGCCATCTCATTGGTCAATGCCATCTGGCTATACGGTAATTACACATGACACCTTGAGGGGCACATTACTGATCCTCGGCTCGTCCGAACTTTGGCCACACACACGCTGGCACATGACCTTGATTCCAGCATGAAACATAGGCCAGCTGTAAAGCTGGTAAGTCTGATCTAACTCAAAGACGCTATTACATACCAAACAAATCAAAAGCAGAGGAATGTCTTCTTCTAATATTTAAAAAATAATTGAAAGAAGACTGTGACTGGGTGCGTTGATAAAGGTAATAGGCATCCAGGAAAAAATACTCGTGGGTAATTGAAACCCTATATCACTCTTCTTCAGCGTCAATAGTGAACTAACAGAAGTAGTCAATGCCTATATACGAGCAACTGGAAAAGAAAACGGTTGGACATGACAAAGACTAATGTCATTGATATGTCTTGCCATAGGAACCCTTAAATAAAAAAACAGCGTTGACATTGACTCCATTTCGTCTGAACAAATATTCATTTATTGCTTATTTAATCTGTCTCAAGGAATGGCGTTCATTTCCGGTTTATGTGACCCCAACCGGATGTGCAGCGTGAACGAGGACAACGGCTTGACCTTGGCCTTCACAGTCGCTCATGAACTTGGACACAAGTAAGTAACACCATATACGTATTAACTCGTTAAAATTGGTTCATTCTAAAGTCCTTATCTTGATGATTGGGCAAAGTTGTTCATCGGGAAAGAAAGAAACGCTGTTGGAAATGCAATTTGCTTTTTACCAAGATTCAATGGTGGCTAATAGCCTTGGCAGTCTCAATAAAGACACATGGAACACAGGTATGTTCAAGATGTATCCTTGTGCCCTTAAAAGATCCTTGTTGTCGGTTGTTTCTGTCACTTGAATTCCTGTGAAATTAAAATCTTACGACAGCCTGTAACAATTGTGAAGTCGGCCTGTTTACCGCGATGTTTTGTTCCGTAGTTTGGGGATGAACCATGACGGGAGAGAGAACCGGTGCGTGTCGCGGCCGGACCTGTCCATACAGTACATCATGTCGTCCTCCTGGCTGAGGAGGACGGGCAAAGTCAACCTGCAGTGGTCCCGCTGCAGCAGGGCACGGGTCGAGAACTTCCTTAGGTAGGGTTATCGTTGATGGTACTTACATGTACGTGGAAACATGTAAAGCCCGACAAATATTTTTCTAACATAAAAGTCCATCTGAATTGGTAATATATTACATTTTGTACAAACTCAACAGCTCTCTAAAGAAAGGACTCAGTATCAGTAGCTTAAGCGCTGCGTCTTTTTCTGATGAATCAGAAGATGGTAGTTGCATTGGGTATTTTTTAGATATTCAGTTTCATACTAGGCTTGTTTTTTCCTCCTAAAACCATAGATCCAAGCAGAGCCAGTGCCTCCTGGACACCAAGAGCGAAGCCAACGTCAACCTGCAGTACAGAGAAGAGCTGCCAGGAGAACTGTACACGGCTCAGCAGCAGTGTGTCTTCAACTTCGGCAAGAACGCATCAGTCTGTCCTTATCCAGAAAAGAAGGTACATGGACTCCTTGTTGAGAACAATTTTGTCATGGACAAAGTAATAACCACCGTACGTCAATCCAAATGTCATTGGGAGCGTCAAGTTGAACCGAAAGTTGTAAGTGATTGGTAACTATTATCTTTATCCTGTCCCTGCCAGAACCGGCTGTGTGAATCCCTCTGGTGTATCGAGCCCGGTAAGGACGAATGTGTTACTAAGGAGTTTGCCGCGGTGGACGGAACGGAATGTGGCAACGATAAGGTATGATATACTTCTTGTTCCTTAGAATTTTCAGATGTAAGAATAAAAGGCATTTCGTTGTTCTTTGAATGCAGCCCTGTTAAAACGTGAACAATACATGTAAATCGGAGGTCTCAAACCTCCGGGAACTCCGTACAGACACACACGCCATTGATCACGAGGCTTACAACATCTGAATGTTTAATGATCTCTCGTCCCTCCGCAGTGGTGTAAAGCCGGTCGGTGTGAGTATAATAAGGACCCCGTGCACGGCGGCTGGGGGAACTGGACCCGCTGGAGCGGCTGTAGCAGGACGTGCGGGATGGGGGTGCGCTTCGCGGCCAGGAAATGTGACAACCCGTAGTGAGTGGAGACAACTAGTGCTTCTACTGTTTCATTACTTTACAGCCACTCGACTATATCAAAGTCACATAAGACCCTAGCTTGACTACATCAGCTTCTAGCACACCTTTCTCTGGTCAGGCCCATAGAAACATGAAAATTAATTAAAATCTTAATGCTGTTGATTTATGCATAAATTGAGCTAAGATGGACAAAAAATTACCAGACTGAAAACTGACTGTTACCATAGTGTTGGGGGCTGTGGTGACTGGTTTGAGGTCTTATTGGACTAGTTTTCATGGTGATAAAGAATCCTGAGCTCCTATTGGTAGTTCTGAGAATGGAAATGCCCACAAGACATTGGGGTGGGAGCTCAATCAACCCCCATGATAGAGACTATGTACATGTAGCACTAGATACAGAAGACCATAAACCTTTAATTATGTTATTTCTAACTAATGAGTTTGTATCCACCCAGCCCCGAGTACGGCGGACGTTACTGCAGCGGCGACAGGATAAAGTACGACGTGTGTAACACTCAGGTGCGCATATCAATGTCTTACTTTTGGAAAAAGAATCTTTAAGGCCAGTATGATATAATAAATACATTATACGTTGTTGCTGCGGAAATGGTAAGACGTTTGGGCAGTAAAACCTTGTAGCAAATGAAATATCTGCATTGACTTTGGCCAAGTGCCTCGTGATCATGCTATTATCCTAAAGGATAAAGTACTAAAGCAACAAGGTAAGAGATGTGTATGATTTGCTCTTCAAAGAGGTATTCGGAAGATAATATGTAAGTCTGATGTCACTGTTTGTAGAGGTGACAATAACGTTGTCTGACGTTGTCGTTTGTCCAGTAGCCGTGTCCGGAGGGGAGCCCGACCTTCAGGAGCGAGCAGTGCGCCTCCTACCGACATCAGCACGCAAGAGCAAACAAGACCCAGAGCAGCCTCTGGTACCCCGTGTACAGCGAGGGTCAGTCTGTCTCTTCATGTTACGTTACATAACCTTCAAGCAGAGGTGTAACTTCGCATATGAACTATATAACAAGAAGACTATATAGCTAACGATCATTATATATTTTCGGACTGTGTGTGTGTGTCTCTGTCTATTTGTGAAAATAATATATCAAGAAGTAGTTCTGAATGAATCGTAATGTTATCTGGTATGTGGGCAAAGTAAAGAAATTATTGGTTTCATTAATCCAGTACAATACACACGTAGATTAGCTACGCAGTATTGATACCTGAACGTTGTCCCCGTGTCCCGTGTGCTCAGAAAGCCCGTGCTCTCTGCTGTGCCGCCCCGTCAGCGGCCGCCGCAGGACGGTCTGGACGCTGTCGGACAGAGTCATCGACGGAACGCCGTGTTCTCCCGGCAAGAGGGCCCTCTGTGTAGACGGACAATGCAAGGTCTGTTATCTGTTACAATTTACATGGTTAATACTAGTACTTCTTTGGAAAAAGTGCTACGACGGTGTTACGTTCTTTATGTATACTCAATCTAGTAATGATGCGCCATGCGACTGAGAAGGGAATTGCAGGGTTTTCTTCGCTCTGCAAGTACCAAATCTTTAGGTATCAAATTTGTAATTTTGAAGCGTTTATATTGTTACCTGTCCAAAGCGATATTCGCTTTTCGATATGGAATTCTCTATGTTTTGAATGATACAAATGAAGAAGGTGTTAATATTTTTGATGTCTTGATGCAATGAAACAGAGGGTAGGTTGTGATGACGTGATCGGTTCTGACGCGGAGGAGGACCGGTGCGGAGTGTGCCGTGGGAACGGGACGACCTGTCATCTCGTCCGCGGGATGTACCAACACCAACACGGCACGGGTAAGAATGGAGGGTACAAAAACAAGGTTATAATCGCCTCCAGAATTAGAACCGTGTCTGTCTTTGCCTGGGTTACTCGGGTTAGGTCCTGACAGGGTACTGAATAGCCTCCGCGTGTCCAAGAACATAGATTTGTTACATGCACGATTTGGATACGCATGTACTATCCAAAACCGTATGTAAGCATGATTATGGATAAAGCACAGTCCTGGACACAGAAGCCATATCCCATGCCCATTGCATGTTGTCAACGCTATACGTCAACAATGCTATGCTAAAATGGAGTAGACACAGATTAAGCTATTAATAAGTATACATGCCTCTCTAACCCATTGATACGAACTTCCTGTTACTGATATTGATTTTCCTTCAGGCTATGAGGAGATTGTAGTCATTCCTAAGGGAGCTAGGAAGATACGTGTTATGGAGGCCCGACCCATGAGGAGCTATCTCGGTAGGAAATACTATATGTCATCAGTCAGCCATCAATAAATATTGATAAGAATTCCTTACATTACAGTGCATGTCTATAGATACGAGGGCAATCACTATTCTCAACGTCTGTGAATATGGCGATGTTTATACTTGGCCTACAAGTGTTTTCTTCGTGATATTGGACTACCTTCTCAGCACCTGTCCTTGTCCTTGGTGCTGAATGCCATCCACCGACTTTTAGGACCTAACCGTCCCCAGTTTACATGGCAGAATGTATAGCTATTCAGCGAAAATTTCGTACAAGACATACTTTATTTCTCTTGTTATCTCTAGCCATGAGAGACAGTGCCTCAAAGCGTTACGTGAACGGCGGACGGCGGATCGAACTCCCGGGGACATTCAAGATGGCGGGCACCAAGGTGCAGTACACGCGCAAGGACTTGTGGGAAACATTTACAGCAGAAGGACCTACAAATAATTCCCTGCAGTTTCTGGTACGTTTGTTTTGCAACAACAGTGCAAAAATTACAACACTTGACTAGCTTCATTTTTTTATTGTTACGATATCTACTGTAAAAATATAAAATGTTTTGCGAAGATGACCTTGCAAGGACCACCTTGTGCAATTGTAGACTGGAAAAATTGTACTCTTAAGCTTGACTGCTTTTTATTTTGGAGGTAACGGTAAGTAATACATTGGCTTCGCGATCGAAACTTCACTTGACCGAAAAAAAACTCTAAATGTACATGTACTCTTCCATGGACCGTACAGATCCTACAGCAGGACCCTGTGGTTGGAGTTGTGTTTGAATACGCCGTTGACCTGGAGAACGCCTCCCATGAGGAGAGTCCGACAGTCAACAACTACAAAATCACCAATGTTGTGGACTCGTTCAGGGAGGATGTGCCGACGTACGGCTGGGTCTCTGACGGCTGGGGGGAATGTGACGCCGTCTGTGGGGGAGGTAAGAAACTTTGCTGTTTTCTTGCGTCTACTAGCACTGCTATTGATTCATGTATCATTGGCTAAAAGATGTAACAGAGCCGGAGCAGCGTTGGAGTGATGGCGTGTTCTTGGTTTGACTCATGACTCATGTTCATTTCTTGCAGGCGTACGTCGTGGACGTAACCGATGTATGCAGCTGGTCATACAGAATCGCAGCCTCGCGTTTGTGGAGGACGAGCCTTGTCGGAACCTGGTGAGACCGCATCAGAAGGAAGAGAAATGTAACAACGCTCCGTGTGAAACAAAGTAAGCAGAACTAAAATGTAACATTATTGTGAATATTTCACATTAGATACACATACAAAATATCCACACACTATCAAATGGCTCGTACGTATACGTATACGCGTACGAGCGATAAGCATGACGTCACGACAGCGAGTGGTAGGCAAAAAGTGTTTTGCCTACCAATCATTTGCGTATGTCTTCCAAACATTTGTTTGTAAATGGTGTAAATAAAAACTAACAAACAAAACAAAAACACAATCTGATGAGTCACAGGTGACGTCAGTTGGCTGCTGTATCCTGTGACATGTGAGGAGGGCACACAGCACCGTATAGGTAGTGGCCTCTTTCCGCTTACACACACACACATACACACAAATAAGCATGCAAGCAAATAAAGAAATAAACTTACGTCCCAGGTGGCGTACTGCTGGTTGGCTACCGTGTCCTGTGACGTGTGGGGAGGGCACACAGCGCCGAGTGGTGGCCTGTACCCAGGAGCTGCCTAACGGGACACTTCGGGCCACAGACACGTGCGCGGGGTCCAGACCTCCATCCGAGAAACCATGCAGGCTGAAATCCTGTCCACTGGTCGCCTCAGGGTGAACTTTTAGTCTTCTAATCTGCTGTGACGTTTGTAGTGACTTGTTGAGTGTCCCAACTGCTAATTTTCAGCTAGAATTAATGACTGTCATAAGAGTATGTAGCTAGCTTGCGTATTTCTCAAGAAAAAAGGCCAACACACGTACAGATCTTGGTAAGCCATCAAACAAGTCATCCACATGTCAAAACCTAATTCTACAAAGTTTAGCAGCTGATGTGTTTTGCAAAAAGATTACATTTACATAGAAAATTTCAGTAGAATAAATTTGACTTTATAAGTATACATAACACATAAATGATCTATTTGGAGAGGACAATGAAAAATCATTGACTTCTCTACTCAGATGGAAAGAGAGCTCTTGGGGCGAGTGTTCGGTGACGTGTGGCGGAGGGATACAATCCCGGCTGGTACGGTGCGTCGGCCGGGCCAGTGACGGGTCGGAGCGGTACGTAGGCGAGGCGCAGTGTCAGGAGGAGAAACCTGCCGAGACGAAGGAGTGCGGCAACCGGTCGTGTGAAGACGCGTAAGAAATATTGATCTTATTTACAATTCCTTCATGTAGGCTACTTTATAATTCTATATTTTGGTAATCGTGACATTTTTTCAGGGTTCAAACCGTAAAATTGTTTGTTCTTCTTCGGCCTACTATAGGGAAGCATGTAAACCCATATGTATCATTTTGTCATACAGTTCTACTTGTTTTTGCGAAAATTATCACTAGGCACTATTAAGCTCCTATGTGTTGAAAAGACACAAGATGGTCCCGTCTATCTGTAGAATTCCGCGTCATTCCGCCGCCGCTCTGACTGGGGGCCATTCGTCTGACAGCGTCTTGCACAAAACAGCTCACCTTTTGATGACGTGGGCATCCTATGGGTACGGAGTTCAATCATAGGTATAAGAACGGCAGCAGAACGTACTGCGCCTGCGCATATCCCGCCTTGTCACGGATTTCGTTGGATGTTTGGCCAATGTTGCATCAGAATTTTGCCCGTTGTAGAGGACATCTTTGTTGACATAGTACTTAAAAACTACAGACGGGATGTATGTCTATGCACAAGACATAACCTGTTTCGCGCAGGCGCAATACGTTATGCCGACGTGCTCATAGTTATATCTCTAACTGACGTTAACTCACTAATGTTACTAACTAGTTACGAGTGGCGGACGGACGCGTGGTCGGCCTGCTCGGCGTCCTGCGGGCTCGGCGTGCAGCTCCGTAACGCCTCGTGTGTGGACCCGCTGGAGAACGACACGGACACCGCCGTCCCCGAGCAGCTCTGCTTCGCGCCAAAACCTGACGTCATCAGGAACTGTACCTTCGGAGCTTGTCCTATTAAGTGAGTATCCGGCATATCCCTAAGCTTACTAAAACGATACTGATCTCTGATAGCTTACAACACTTTGGTTATGATGTTTCCTTTATAGAAATAATGCTTTTGCCCTGTTTCTTCTTCTTGTCAAAAAACATAAGGTCAAATGACCTGGACCGGACTGTCACCATGTTAACTGGTGCTGTAACAGACACCCTGTGGTGTTGGTATGAAGAACTGTTACCTCATCTCTTTAACGTCACGTTTTCTTCCATGTGCAGGAAGTGGGAGGTAAGCGCCTGGGCCGGGTGTTCGGTGTCGTGTGGTCAGGGCATGCAGTCCCGTGACGTCACGTGCATGACGTCATACACTAACGGTACCGTGCTGACCGGTGACGACTTGTGTGACGCGCCCAAACCGCCTCCTGTCCGCTCGTGCGGGTTCGAACCTTGTCCCATCAGGTAGACAAGACAACATATCATCCTCCTGAGCCGTCAGTGACACTCTTCTTAGCTCACCGTCTCGTCATTTTCTACGAATTTTCCAGGCATTGATCTTAGCACCCTTAGCATCTTCACCATCCTACGACTTCACTGAGCACTTCAATACCTATCCGTGTTTTACTTTCTCAAGAACTGAGTTAGAATACTGCTGTCTTTCAATATCTTTCATCACATTCTTAGAACTTGTCTATGTATCATTCTTTATTATGTCCATCAAATACATTTTTCCACTTTCTCAAGAACTGAACTTTTAATGCTGCTGTCCGTCAATATCTTTCAACGCAATTTTAAACTTAATCTGTGTGTCATTTATATTATGTCTATCTCATGTGCCTTTGTCGCTCTCCAAATAACTGAACTTGGAATGGCTGCTATCCATTAGTACCGCTCACCAGATTGCCAGATTTCATCGACATGTTTATGTTATCCATCTCCTGTCATATTTTTCGAACTTGGACTCGATTTTGCTCCTTTATAACTATCATTTGAGTCGTGGCATAAACCTACGTATAAATCTATGGCAAAGGTTGAAGATATTGACTGTGGACACATCAAAGCGGAGGATTCCGTATGTTTCACAATAAATTTTCTTTAAAGGCTTTATTCTCTCTTATAATGTCTCTTTGTGATCTTTCTGTACAAAAACTGCTGAGATTTTCTATCTGTAGAAACACAGCAGTAAATCGGAATGGTGCTATTTCTATCTATTTTGTCATTATATTAATTAAAAATGTCCGTGCAATAGAAATGCAAGAGCAATAAACAACATAAAGCCATTCATTTGTACGGTTTCTTCCCACACGGATCGTAAGTATATAGCCCGAAGGAACCTCGTAAGAATGATTTGTGACAACATGTTCATGACGGCGGCCATATTCTCCCGCAGTGAATCATGGGACGCCACGACTTGGCACGCATGCTCCGTGACGTGTGGGCAGGGTATCCGGTCCAGGCGGGTTCGCTGTAAGGTGACGTATCCCAACGGAACCATGCTGTACGCGCCTGACGTCAGGTGTAACGACACCGAGAAGCCCAGGACTCTCAAACCCTGCTTCGGCATGGAGTGTGCCGCCAAACCTATCGAGATCGTGTGGTCCAAGGTGTTTACTTTTAACTAGTATACGTTATACACAAGAATATAGTTACTCAAGCAACTATTTCTCTATGTTTCTCATTACCTGGATGTCTCATCAGTTTGACGTATATGCCTTATGGCGTGGTCTCATCAAAACAACGTATTTAGCTGTATACTGATAATAGATAAAGATGTAAGATAAATGCAGTTGACATGGGCAGCATAAAGGTTGTCCGTGTCCCTTTATATGAAAATATTTCAGCACCAAGGAGAGACATGGGTGTTACAAGAAATGGCTCCACTGCTTACCTTATTTGTCACACACTGTCGTGATATATAGATTTAGGGCAAGGTGATATCGTGTCTATGAATTAGTGTTTCACTGTTTTGTTGTTGTGACGTACTAGTGTTTTCTGGGTGTGACGTAGTGTTTTGTTGTGACGTGCAGTGTTCGTCTAAGTGTGGTCCCGGTGAGAGGACAAGGCGGGTCAAGTGCCACCAGGAGGACGCCCTCTGCAAAGTGAAGTACCGGGCCGTCCGCAGGGTGGCGTGTTACGGCAGTAAGTGTAGCGGTGTTTGGAAGACCGGACCCTGGTCCAAGGTACATCCCACTTAGAGCATGGGATCTTAAGAACGTTTTGCTATATTAGATGAGTCTTTATATAATAATTGGAGGTGATGTGCTTTGTATATGTCAAGGTAGAGACTCCGATCTGAGAGAACCGGCGACTCTACCGGTACAGATCCCGATCGGAGTCTCTCAACAGAAACTCCAATCGGGATATCTTCTTCCAGGTTGGAGTCTCTACCCAGACATATGCGAGTACATACAATCTATATAATTTGTGCTTCATTTTATCTATAGTTGGAGTTGAGCCCGTAACATTTGTTTCACTATCTGATAAGCGGGAGAGTGAAAGGGTTTGAAGATATATCCGTATGCAAATGTGCCGTAAGTTTTTAGTGTTCTCGGTGACGTGTACGACTAGGTGAAATGTGCCGTTGTTGTAGTACTCGGTGACGTGTGGATGAAATGTGCCATAAACTTTGTTGTAGTACTCGGTGACGTGTGGATGAAATGTTCCGTAAACTTTGTTGTAGTGCTCGGTGACGTGTGGATGAAATGTTCCGTAAACTTTGTTGTAGTACTCGGTGACGTGTGGATGAAATGTTCCGTAAACTTTGTTGTAGTGCTCGGTGACGTGTGGGTACGGACTGCAGCACCGCAGTACCCGGTGTAAGACGGACAGGACCGACAGGACGTGGTTCCACAACTGCAACAAGCACGACAGGCCTGACTCTACCCGAAGCTGCTCCGCCGGAAGTTGCGTCAATGCGTTCGACTTCCACGTCTTCCCTCTGCAGCCCCCTAAGGGTACCTTCTTGTCCTAACGTTCCCACGAGTATTGTATTGTCACAATCCCAATGAATCAAATCAGTACCTAACACCCCCTGCCCCCCGACCGACCAAATGATTGACAGATCCTTGCACGATTCTTTTGCATTTTCTGTACACGTGTGTTTTGTTGTCTTCCAAATCATGCATTCATCTTGCAGCTCAAAGTGAGTTCTTCTTTCCTATCTCCAGTAAAGGAACCTCGGCGGTGCACCAGAGACCGAGCCAACCCCCGGATCTGTCAGGTGGTGAAGACCAGGGGAAGACTCTGCCGTCACACCCACTGGGCCAAGAACTGCTGCAGGACCTGCGGATACTACGAGGTGGTCTAGCCGCGAGAAGAACACCAGATGTAACTTACCAAAGGCGTTAAAGACACGTTAGGCACATACTGTAAATGTATTTACTTTCGCGGTGGTTTTATTTTGTGGTATAGGGTAAAAATAAGGTGTTTGAAGTTCACGGTTTAAAAGATTCTGTGGAACAGTAGAAGAAATACAAAGATATGTTCACGGTATCGCGATATCGCGTTATATTAAAAGGACACCGCAAAACCAGCGAATATAAAACCACCGCGAAAGTAAATGCATGTACATGTACAGGTAAACTGGTGAATATGAGTATGTATAGTCTTTTCATTGGTATCCCTGGATGGAAACAATACTCCCAGTTGGAAACAGTGTTTCTATCAACTTCAAGGTGTTTTCTTAACCGCCTTTGGTAGACTTTTATTGCTGTACAATTTCTTTCTCTCCAGCAAAATTGCTGGAATGAATTTTTAGATGTCCGTACCAAAGACTAAGGGCTGATATTGTAGATGTGACTGTTGTAGAAACGGAAAACTTGCTGCTAACATTACACAGAAAGGTGCTATTACTCTTTTGTAACATACATCATAGACGGAAATTCATTCATCGGTCTTCACATCTCTACATGGAATGATTGTGTTGAAAACGAATATGTTAAAACACATTCTGGAAAACATATTCTACAAAACACATCCTGGCTGACTCGTGCAACATACTTGGGACGTTTAACCCAATTCAAGATCTCATCATCTATGAAAAAGGCGTAATGACTGCTATAGAATCGAAGGATACATACAAATGAGCTAGAACATGTTTTTTTGCTCTGAGTAAAGGTTTACTATCATAAAACACTTGTCTTGAGAACAAAGTTATCATTTAAGCTGTAGCTCAGGAACTAGTATCATAACAGCCAAACTCAAAATCAGTTTTGGAACTGACTATACAAGTTTTGCAAGGAGCTAGTTGAACAATTAGTTTACGAATCCATGATACCTCTTATTGTTCTGGTGCTATCTATACGTATATTCAAGTACATTATACAAGTGTGATATTATGTGTTGGTGCTTTTCCGTGAAGTCTTGTTGTACATGTATATTGGCTACTGATGACGGAGTCATACATTACGACTGTAAACAGCTCTACATTATAAGTATGTAGCTCGCACTTTATGTTTTCTAATTCTACTAAGTAGTATTTTTAGCCTATGTTATGTGTGAAAAGTGATATTAAATGTAGTGAGGTGAACATACCACTATAGATTTGCTGTGCTCTTGGACAAAGGAAAAGAGGAAAATACATTATCAACATCTTAACGCGTTCATCAGCTCTGATTATGAGTGACGTACGAGGTAACTTTTTGTGGTTCAATATTGAAGCGTTGAATGTTTATCCTCTTTTGAGTTCTTCTTCATCTCAGTCATCATCTATGTACAGCTTTGCAGTCAAATTTTAATCTTTTTTATCAGTCGTTTATGTTCTCTAATTTATTCTAACCTAAACATGAACTTACGTTTCGTACATTTGTTTATAGAAAAATGTTATTTATTGCATCTATGTCACTGAATATTTCAGGGCTCCTGAAGGGCTATTGCCCGGTTGGGAATCATCTAGATAAGATATGGATAAGATTAGATCGGAGCCAACATATTTTACGGGAGTTGGTCGTGCTCTTGTGCACTCTGCCCTGGAGAAACCATGGCCTTTCTAGGGTATAGTTTCCAAACAGCGAACGCAACGATTGCCACGACCAGAAGACCTCCCACTATACCAAGGGCGATGGGGAGGGGGTCGGCACCGGTAGTACCGCTGTTCCCAAGCTGGACGGATTTCGTTGGTGTCAGTTTAGACGTCATTGTCGGGGTCTTGGGAGGGACAGACAGTTGGGTCGTTGTTTTGAATGTAGGATTCTGTGCCGTGGGGAAAGTGATGTTGTTTTGACTACCAACAGTAGTCACAATGTCGGTGAAAGGTTCGGCCGTCGTAGCTGTAATAAAAATGAAGCGCTGGCTGTGAAAGTGTGCTAGCACAAACGCCAGATAGAAACATTAAGAACTATAATTGTAATTTGATGTGCACATATAACACGTTAAATACTCACTATTTAAGTACAGAACAGCAGTAAGGGTTATCTGGTCAATGCCAAACTTTGGGAAGCTGGGAGGATCCGGAACGCCATCGATCACGACCTGATATGGTAGAAAACATGGATAAAAACCGTCACCAAGGTTGGCCGTAGGTCTAGAGCAATCTGGCCAGATTGAGACCCGCCTACCATTCGATTCGAATCGAATGGAATTCAAGTTAAATTTCAGTCAAATTCGACTGCCAACTTTCAACGAATTTTAGCCACTTACTTTGTACATCCCAGTCTGTCCCACTCCAACTTGTACACGTTGCCAAGGAAACAGGAGGTCAGACGTCGACCAAAGCAGAGATTCTGTACCGTCCATGTTCATCACGAACACGTTAAGGTATGTGGAGTTCGGCGGTCTGACCGTGCCGACAGCGAAACTCAACACCACAGGGTGGGTAGTGTTGATGGTTGGACTGATGAGCCGAGATCTGTTGGTGCCGGATGAATGCTGCTCTTCCAGGTTGAAGCACACGTACTCACCACCAACTGAAAAAATTAAACGTTGCGAAAGTTGAAAGTCTGTTTTATTGTAGTTTATTAGTCACTTTTATGATGGGTGTAGAATAGCTAATGTAGAAAGGGAACGAATAGAAATATTTAAAACATACAACGGACAAAAGGACGAGACTCTTGTACCTACAATACTGTAATTTAACTAACACTAACTTGTAACGCCAGGACGTGCTGCTACGGGCCACCCGTAATCACATTCGGCCGGTGCTCCATGAAAGATCGCACCCTCTAGGCTCCATCCACAGATGGTGAAGTCAAACGTACAACTGTATTGGCCACCAAGGTCTAAGTTGACTGTCACAGAACACAGGGAAAAATAACGATATTGGAATCAAGCAGATTTCTTCGGGGTCAAGACTGCTAGGCTGGGTGCCATCCTCCGTAGTTTCCGTCGGCTCCCTAACATCGCTGGCTACCTGTACCGTGGTAGCCAGCGACATTAGGGAGATAAACTACGGAAGATTAGATGGCACCCAGACTAGCTATAGTTAGCCAGCCCGTAACTAGCTGTAGGGGGGCAAATGATTTATTTATCTATTTATTTTGTAGCCCATTCAGCTTGCAGTAGCTGATTTCCGATGGGGCCATGCATACATGTGCATGCACATAGGACAAGAGATGATTACATTCCGACAAAAAGTACACAAGATTCAAGAAACCTGCTTGGGTCTGCCACAAACGTACACATAACACCTTAAGCCATGATTAATCTGTCAAAGAATAAAATATTCATTTACCACATGTTGTTTTATATGACCAAAGTTCATATACAGCTAGTTAACGTTTGATAGATTTTAAATTCACAGTCGAGAGTTTTATAGGGTTGTTTTGAACCCTATAAAGTTCCAACACAGACGAGTTGCATGTAGCACTATTTGAAATACCTAACGGACAGTGAGGCTAACGACGACTGTGGAAAAGCCCGCGTCGGGGCTTAATACTTGTTATATGCCTGGTTTATAATTCCCAATGGATACATGCAGTAACTTTTCGTTAAAACAATTAACAAAAGGATGGTTGAAAATCTCAAATGTTATAAATAAATTAACGAGTATCAGTGCATCCTGTCAATACTAGACCTGTATGGCCAAAGAAGAGGCTGAAAGATTCGAATGAAGATTTCATGTATTCAGTCATGGCATTCTGATACAACTATAAAGCTAAAAACTACAACAAGTACTCGTCATGTAATTGAGCTATATGCTGGTGTACCTTGAAAAACCGCCGAAGAGCAGATTCTGCTAATGCTAAGGTCACATTTCCCCAACCGGGGCCCGGCTGTGCAGTCTTATGGAACGAACAAAGCACAAAAAATTTAAAAATTAATAATGGGAATCATTTTCGTACATTCTTGAAATAAATTGTTGATTTTTCGTTAATCAAAACAGCCCGGCCAGGCCCCGGTTGGGAAATGTGACCTCAGCAAAAAGCACTGTAATTACGGAGTAGACAGTATGCGAGTATAGGAGATGGCACTGAAGCTTTCGCGTAAAAATAAATGCTAGTTGTACTCACTTGAAGCGGATGAGACGGCAAAGCATGAGAACAAGAGAAGAAAGGACGGTGAACGGACCATGGTGGAGACCCGTACAGCCACGCAGTGTCTTCTTGTAGCGTGGACGGACAAAATGGTCGCGTATCGTCCTTACGTATGCTAAAACCGTAACCTTAGAGAGACTAATACGTCTTGATAAACCACACCCTTTCCCCACACCCGTTGCTGAGCAATCATTAGTAGTGCGATTCAGTTTACAACGTCTGGGTTCTTGAACTGTTTGTTGAGGAGGCTCTAAGTCATGTATAATTGGAGCAGTTCAGCTGACTGGGTTATAATGCAGCTTTAATGGGTTATGAAGAGATTTTGAGGGGAAAGTTTGTCTATTCTCAAGCACTGCGGCCGATTGAGGCCAATTGTAAAAAAATCTAACGAATTGGCAATGGAGTTAAAGATTTATTCGTGGTATCAAAATTGAAGACAGCAGACCAACCAACAGATATAAACAGATATAGAGACAGGGCGAAGGAAGAAGATCGGCAGAACAGTGTCACACGACCTTGCAATTGCTTCAGCTGGCGTCCCTTGTAAAGCCATGTCACACAAAGCCGAATTGACGAATTATAAATTCCCCCTACTGATTATAAAGAAGATCATCCTTCAGGTATTTTTATTCAGCCGCACTTCTCGAGTTATGTTGTCGAAATACAAACAAATAAACAAACAAACAAACAAACAAACACACACACACACACACACACACACACACACACACACACACACACACACACACACACACACACACACACACACACACACATACACAGCCCGCTGCATTACCGTAGGAAAACGCCAGCTGAACCATTTTCTAACTTGATCTTCGTTTTCACAATCATGCTGTTAATATACACACCGACCCAGACCACAGCCAGAGTCCACCAACCACAACCGAAAACATAACGTCCTGGCGAAGATGATCAGATCAGGACCAATTCGGTCTGGGAGAGTAGGTCATGGTCTTGGGGATTATTCTCGGGAGAAACTACTGTTTTTCCTGCGTATTTTTTCCAGAAAGCGAAGGCACCGATTGCAACGACCAGTAAACCACCCGTTGTACCGAGGGCGATGGGAACAGGGTTGGCGCCAGCCTGGTTGTTGTCTCCGCGCTGGGCAGCTTTCGTTGGCGCCGCTGCTAGCTTGGACGTCGTCGAAAGAGGTTTGGAGGGGTCAGACGGTTTTGTTGTTTCCCTTGAGAGATCTGGAAAGTAGCTGGTTGCTTTAGATGTGAAGTACATAGAGATGCCGCTTTTGAGAGTAGTGAGAAGATAGCTGTCCGTTGTCTTCGTTGTTGGAACTCGTGTGGCTTGTGTGGTTTCCTCCCTGCTACTGGTCGCATGGACAGTGCCCGTATCCCTGACACTAGTCATAGGGAAGGTGGTCTTATCTTGAGTGCTGGTCGTAGGAAAAATGGCTGTATCTTGCGTGTTGGTCGTGGGAATGGCGGTGCCGTCTTGGCTACTTGTCGTAGTCACAACCTCGGTCGACGATCCATGTGTTTGTATGGCCTCGGTCGTGGCAGCTAAAATATCGAGATCATTAGAAATTAAGCGCCAACACTAACGTAAGATTTTTACGCGTTGTCGTATAGGAAATAATAAAGATATAGAAAGTTTATTGCAAGTACTTGCCCGAGGGCTAATTGCAGTTACAAACAACATAGAAAGAAAATACAGTGGTATGTGAGACTATATCTACTTCTAACATTATACTATATTCTACAACATGACATGACACTAGTTTTACTGGGTTTGACTTCTTCTTTTTAGGCAATGGAAGACGAATTTACCCACTTCTTCTATAATATGTGGGTTCTTTGATTTTAGTAGTAAAATGGTTTTTTTGTGGTAAGAAATGGTGGGGAAGATAAAATGTTCCCCAGGATAAAGGACGTATATCTTACCGGAATCAGTCGCCATGATCCTGACGTCGTCAATACCAAAATTCGGGAAGAACGGCGGATTTGGAATGCCTTCGATCACGACCTGGAATCATATGCAAAACCAAGGATAAACCGTTTTGTCAAGTTTTGTAAAAGAGACAGTTGACGGCTCTTTTTAAAAACACATCTACATATATGTGCACTTACTTGATAAGGCCCAGACTGTGTCACTCGTACATGTACATGTTGCCATGGAGCCAGGAGGTCAGACGTCGACCAAAGCAGAGATTCTGTACCGTCCATGTTCATCACGAACACGTTAAGGTATGTGGAGTTCGGCGGTCTGACCGTGCCGACATAGAAACTCAACACCACAGGGTGGGTAGTGTTGATGGTTGGACTGACGAGGCGGGCTCGGCTGGTGCCCAACATTGGCAGGTGCTCCAGGTAGAAACACATGTACATACCGGAATCTGGAAGAACAACGATGCGGTTACAAATATATTTACCATTAAACTGGCATTATTATTGTCCAATGATTATTTATGTGTAGGCTCCTTTCGAAAAGAGTAGGAGCATGCCCTGAATTTCGATGGTCCAAATACTTTTTTCTAGAAGTTGGTAAATCACTAAAAATCATCCCAATGGAGGTCTGACGAACCCCCGTTTCGTATTAGCCACCCTTTTGACTGGAGAAACAGTAGAGTGAAATTTATGTAACACTAATGGAGGTCCTAATGAAACAAACAAACGAACACACTTGACGCGTTCATAAACGCAAGCAAAATATGCGTGTACTTTTATGTAGTGCAAATTATGCAGATTATAATGAATAGAATAGCACAGAATAAAATGTTGTCACTTCGATGACGAAGATCTAATGAAGCAGACCCACCAGTCACGCCATGTACTGCATCATGTGGCCAGCCGTGATCACACATCCCTGGTCCATTATAGACCGGGCCCTCTATTGTCCAGCCGCAGACGTCAACATCAAAGGTGCACCCGTACTGGTCAGCAGGGTCAAGGTCAACTAAAGCAGCAGAAAGGGAGGAATTATAATAACCTTATATTAAATTCATACTCCAGCCAACCATGACTGGTCGACCCAACCTCCAATCAACACCCGAACATCAGCCAACCACAGCCGTCCTTGCCCCTACCTACTCCTAACCATGGTTGTTTGGAGTTTGGGAGGCAATAATTTGCCCCCTCCTAAATGGAGTCAGTCACACACGCATACGCCATGTACTCACCATATGAGCGTTCTTTATTAAGCTAGCTAAGCAAACATTCGATTGAGATTTAAGATGCCCGGTCGAGATGTTTATGGGGTTGTTATGAATGCCATAAAACAAAGAATTGTGGAACTACCTGGACTATGTTGTCTCATTCAAACATTTCGGCGTTCATTCAGCGTATCGCTACATACCACTATCAGAGGGTATTGAACACAGGATAATACAGACACAATGCTTGTAATTTTCTGTTTTTTTTTTCAACACAGGGCAGCTGGAGATCATAGGGTCAAGATTAAGGGTAATATTTTAAGCAAAGTAGCCATCAAACGCTTCATATAACAATAAGTTATCAATTACAAATGTCATATTGGATTAATAACTTTCTTGATTTCTAAGATGGACTGGAGACACACTGAGGATGCCGAGAGGGAAGCCCAGAATCGAGCTGGATGGAGGACGGCACCGGTGGCCTGTGTCAGGGGCCAATGGAGAAAGTAGTAGTGGTAGAAGTAGTAGTAGTAGTAGCAACAAACAGAACACTCTGGAGACAGGAAGTTAAGGAAGGCTTACATCGGGGGGAAGAAAAACAGACTTGCATCAGAACTGAGACGCTTAAACGCAAAACTAAGAAGAATAAGTATAAGATGTAGAATGATTTACTTCATGGTCTTTTAAGACCGACGAATGCCTACTAGTAGTAGTAGCAGATTTACAGGGTTTTATTGCCGCATGCACATGTAACAGGCATTCAATAGGGCGGGATCTTTTGGCTGAGTACAACTCAAGGACCTGCACATATATACCATGGAGGATTAAAAAAGTCAAGAATGTCTAACAACTACTAAGAGTACACTGATGCTGCACGTTAACAGTGTAGAAGATATGTTGTACTTACTTGAAGTGGACGCGAAGGCAATCCATGAGAAGATGAGAAGGAACGACGATACAACCATCATGATGGGCACCAGGGCAGTCCCACACGTCCTACTGAGGCCGCGGAGTGCAGCAAAACGCCGCTTACAAACTACAGGTATTTCCCGTGTGTATGGAAATGCCTCAGTGTGCTAATACTTTTAACGACAGAGCACACATCTACTGTCAACACGTTGCTAAGCAAGTCTTCAGTACTGTCATAAAGATAACGATAATTCGGCCCTAGCGCTAGCCGCCATATGCTTCTTACCGGCGGTGATGGTATACATGACCATGCAGAAACTACAGTTTGCTGTAAGACAAATGGTTGCCTGCTGCATCCTTATACCGTACCAAAAATAATTACAACGGTTCATACTCCGAAAGATTGTTGATACCAGCATGGTTATTCGTCGTAACTACTAGTACTAGCTATTGTTTTATTTTACTCTTTTATAGCAATAAGGCACGGGCAATAATTCATCTTCTTATCTATGCGATTAATTGATACTAAATGTATTATGTCTGGGTTTTCAGGTGGGACAGGGGAAGAACGTACTACGCCTACCTCGAGCGACTATGGTCTTCACAAACAACAAAAACTGACACCAACAAAAATAAGACTCGTAGCAGTTGTAGCAAGATTCATATGGTATTTGAGGAGCCACACATCAACCTTTGAATAGAGTCACGCTTCCGACAGTCATTTTCTAACATCCATTGCATGTATCGAAATACATGTAGTTGGGGTGCTTCCCGGTGTGATCATGATGAGTGGTTCAAAACTGACAGTCCGGTTTTATGCAGCTTATACTGTAAAACCACGTGTGTGACACCTAAATGTGACTTCCTGATTGTGCAAAACGAACAAACAAACACACAAAACCTTTTCTACTCAAGGTTCATTGGAGCACCTGACTACGAACATGGGGATGTTTTTCTGGTGAGACTTTTCTGCCGTATTTTCTCCACAGACAGACCGCGGCGACCGCCAGGACCAGCAGGCCTCCCGCTGATCCCAGCACGATGGGAACGAGAACGATGTTTGTCGGACCGTCATTCCCTCCCTGTTCGGGTTTCGGAGCGGTCGTCAGGGCAGGAGTCGTCATCTGCAGGGAACATTCGGCTGTAGGTGCGCCCACGGTCGTAGTACCTGCAAAATAAAGATCGTATACTCATGAGGAAAGGTGGTTTGGGTTGTAGACTTTGAATATGAGGGATCTGGGTTTCAATTCCTTTCAGGCCCCGGTGTTGTGTCCTTGGAAAAGACAAATTTTACTTCTGTTTGCTCACTCAACCGAGAAAGAGTGCCTATAACTTCGGGGTGATTTTGAATAAGTAATATAAACAAAGGAATAAGTATGCATCTGATGAACCTATAATCCTTATATGACATGTTTTCCCATAAAATACGATTGATAACTACATGTGTAAGTGGGGTCTAAATGATGATAGGTCACGGTAGGAAAACTGCCGAAGGGATCACAATACTCACCAGGGTCAGCAGCGGTAAGCGTCAAGTCGTCAATACCAAAGTTTGGGTAGAAGGGAGGATTTGGAATCCCCTCAATGATGACCTGAGATAGAGAAAAAGACGGACAGATATTGACTAGGAATAATACTCATGGCTATACCGAGAATCATTATCATCATTACCATCGGTCGGCCCTTAGAGCTAATTCAAACAAAGAAGTTTTGACAAAGAAACGGACAAGTCTATATTTACAGTATTATGACAATAGATAGTATAATACATATTTATGCAGGCACTCACTTTGTAAGGCCCAGGCTGCCACAACCCTACTCGTACACGTTGCCATGGTAACAGGAGGTCAGAGGTCGAACACACCAGCGATTCTCCACCATGTTCGTCCGCCATGATGATGTTCATGTAGTTTGCGTTAGGCGGCCTGACAGTGCCGATAGCAAAGCTCAGGACCACGTGACGAGTTGTGTTAATGGTTGGACTGATGAATCTAGCTTGGTTGGTGCCAATCATTGGTAGGTTTTCCAAGTAAAAACATATGTACTGGCCAGGGTCTGGAATTAAAAGTTCAAAAGTGGCAAACTAGTAACAAGGAGCTTATATGTCCATGTGTGCTCCTTGCAATTAACTTTGGTCTTATCACTATCAGGCTAAACGGAAGCTATGCGCCTCAAGATTTCTTACTAACGGACGACTGTGGTGTGAAAGATAGCAGTTGCATTGTTGATGACTGAATGAATCCACTCTTCTTTTCACCAGTAATGATGGGGTCACAATTCCCATACGGGGCCCGGGCGGGCAGTTTTTGGGAACGAAAAGTACGATATAAAAGACAACAAAACATCGAAAATTTCTTAATAATAATCATGGGCTCTATTTCTCTATATTCTTGATAAGAATAGTTAATTTTTCGTTCGTTCAAACAGCCCGGCCGGGCCCCGGTTTGGAAATGTGACCTAAGCATTAATAGAGTCTTATGAATGGAGGGCACGTGGCCTATAAATGGCACAAGACCACATATATGATATAACACTATACCAATCAAGGGGAGACCTGTATAGACCTTTAATCTAGAGAAAATGTGCGGCTTCATATCGTTAACAAAGGCGTTGATAAGAAACGTTGTTAATGTGTTTTAGATTACTGCGTGGTAAGTAATAAGTTATAACGGGCCGGGTGTGACCAAACCATGTTCGTATCATGACGTCGACATGCGTCACTGATTTATATTATACTGATTAGGGCGTTTGTATGTGACAAAGAAAGCGATAAACACACTATCGTTGGCGCCAAATGTAAGTTTCTCTCTATGTAAGCAAATATAAGTGTCTATAAGCACCAACCATTAGTTCCATTGAATGCATTAGTCGGCCATCCGTGATCACATCCCCCTGTCCCGTGGGAGATCGGACCGTCTATTATCCAGTCACAGACGTCATCGTCAAAGGAACATCTGTACTGGTCAGCCGTGTCGAGGTCAACTAGGAAGAATACAAGGATGAAATATAAATCATAATGAGACGTAAACTCAAAGTTCTCTAACTCTAAAAGAATTTGGCACATCATCGGTCTTCATCAGCTATCTGACCCACTGCCCAATCACGTGTCTACAGTACTTTGATCAAATATCTGATTAAGACCGAGAAATTCAGTCGAAAATTCCCGTAGGTCAAATCCTTTTATAAGTTTATTTCTCATTACATATTTTACAAACTCAGATTAAACTTCATGCTAGTAATATAAATCATGATTTTTATCTTGTAATATCTTAATTGACCCTGGTCCGTAACCTAGAATGTGGACATAACAACAATGCCACAATCAAACGTTATCTGCCACGTATATATAGATTTATTTGGTACGAGTCTCCAAATAATGTAACGTTAATCATTATTGGTTTCAAGGCAATAAAATTTCACCATGTTCGTGCACGATGGTACATACCACCAACTTAAAGTAGTTTAACAGCAACGTTAGCGTATATTAAAGTCGCACTTATAGCTTCTAACGTGATCAACCTGCCCCCAAGACAAAAGTACATCCGAATACAGTAATTGCCACAAATAAAACGAAAAAAGCCTTTGTTAGGTGTTTCCTACTCCCTTATCATCATATAAAATTGCCCTATTCTTGAGATAGTTCTTATTTGAAAACACAACATAAGTGTTAATGGTTTTTAAAATTTGAAGTATGACATATTGTATGTACGGCTACATCCACCTATCTATATTTTTATATGACCTCTTTTGTTAGGAAGAAATAATCCTTCATATAGAGGTCAATAAACTACTGATATCGTCTACGACACAATATGTTTTGATGGTTCAGTCAAACGGTTGGGGGAATAATGATGAAAAGGAATTCAAACAAATTTCAAACGAATGCTCGGGACTTAGCAGAACACTCCCATGTATTCCCACTAGTAGTATACCGAGTATGCGGGACAAACCTACAGAGAACCCATGTATATACGTACAGGTCGAATATTACGTGCAATTGTGGGTCGTACTTACTCGAAGTGGCAGCGTAGAAAAACCACGGGCACAGGAGGAGTGAAGACAGAGCAAGTTTCATGCCGATTTAAAAAACAGTTCCTCCGGTACCTCGTCACTTCCTAAACTGACGCGTTTGGCCTTGTGTGTCGCCCGGGATACGTCTGACGGACGTTGTTGCTAATAATACGTCACAACAAAACACACTGATTTTCACATTTTCTATGGCAGTTATCAGTCCAATTAACGTTACCCACATCTGGATGCCCCAAACATCAATGCTGTGACCTATGTGCATGGATACTTTACGATTAAGTTGCTAATGAGTCACGGCTACGCACACATTGATTTTGACATCTAGCTTGGCAGCTATCAGTCCAATTAACTCTGGGTGTTCTTATCTTCCAGGTGTCTGGTTGAAGGCGACGGTTGTCCAGTAGTTAAGCTGACCAGATGACGAAATGTTGTGTATATTATTTTTCTGCCAGTATACAAACTGATTGCGGTTAGTTGAAGCGGATATTCTGCACGCGCTACCACAGGGCTAGGGGTAAAAACATACAGGTACAACAGACATCCTCAACTTAACTGAGTTATCTGAGAAAGAGTGAAGTCTGCATGCAAGAGTGTTGATATCTTTAATGAATTGAGTGATTGATTTGCTTTACACAATAGTCAACAAATGCCTGTACAATAAAAAGGTTAAACTCAAACAGTTTTATACAGTATATCAACATAGCCATACATTGTTGTAGTTATTGTCAAATTCCGAGCACTGTCTTCTCAGTTTTTCCTTAGATGTTCATACACTGGTGGCCTCAACTCCTGATAAACAGTCTCTGACTCTGGGCGTGCAGGCAGGCTATCCATGGGGATGTCGTACAGTGGATTTGATGGAGACTGCTGAGGACCTGGGTTTGGTGTACTGTTGACCACATCTTCGTATACCTCCGACACTTCTGCAAATGGCAAAATGACATTATTTCAAATCTGGGCAAGCAGATAGAATAAAATGATTCAGTTCATACAGACAGTGGCAACAAATAGGTTTAGATTCCATGCCGGCCCCAATACATATTTTTGTGCTGTTAATTACAATTTTATCAATTGTATCGTTTGTTCATTGTATCATGATCAGAATCACATTATGCGCAAAATATACAACAAAAAAAAAACACAATAAACATGCATAAATGCACAAAGAGAATTGCCTGAAGATGGCATATGGCATTCAAGAAAGCCTGTTACGCTTGAAACGGATGTTCTAATACAGACAAGCAAGAAAAGTTATACATATTGAGAAAGCCCCGATGATTTCATTTACTTGCCTTTCATGTTCCGAAGATGCTGCACTAGAAGCGTTGCCAGAATTCCAACCACAACTCCCACAGCAGCAGCAGTGATGGCGATTCCTGCACACACTGCGGGGTCTACACCCGGTGAAGATGGACCAATCGCAGGGCTTCTTTCGGGTGAGGTAGTGACCTGGCGTGGACATTCAGTAACCACCGCTGGACATGTGCATCCTGTTTCCGCTTCTATTACATGATAGAAATAACAAACACCAGACAAATTATATTAATTAGTTCTCCCTCTCAACAAGCAACTACCCAAGCAAAGGAAAACAGTAGTCTTAATTACCATAACGTTTTTAAAAGAGCGGGACGATTTACATTTATATTCATAAGGGCCCTATTATATTTCTAGATTTCTAACGGAGGATCGTCCGGGTTTCTTTAAAAAAAAAACGTTGTCTGTTTTTCGGAGACGTGTGTTGATCTCATCCTTAGCACTTGTCGTAAGAAGACTGAACGTACCTTGAATACTGGTCGTGCGAACAGTGGCCGTATTTTTACCGATGGTCAGAGGCAACGTGGACGTGTCCTGACTACTAGTCTCGGAAAAGGTTGTCCTATCATGACTACTGGTCATTGGCCTTGGGTCATAGGGCGTCCCTTGACTGCTTGTCTCGGGTAGTATGGTCGTATAGTGGCTACTCGTCATGGGCTGTTTGGTCGTCTCCTGACTACTAGAAAGTGTTGTCGTATCCTGACTAACAACCAAGGGCATTGTAGTGTCATCTTGACCACTGGTCATAGGGAGTGTGGTGTTGTATTGCCGAGTTGTCATACGGGGTGTGGTGACCAGCTCAGTGGAACATGTAGTCGTTTGTGCGCCCACGTTTGCAGTAGCTGAAAAATAAAGAGTTGGAATTAGCGCTGCCATGATCTTCAGATAAGAAACAAAGAGGTAAATGGTGTGTGTATGGGAGTGTCCTTACCTTTGTCTCAGATTTTGAATTTGATGTCGAAAGATAGCCAAGATACGACCGTATTGATGGAGATAATGCTCACCATTTTCAACGACTGCCAGTGCCAATTCGTCAATACCAAAGTTCGGATAGAAGGGAGGATCGGGAATACCTTCAATCACAATCTGAAACAGAAAACTATCAAATCCTTGCATATTGAATACTGCATGGCTGAAATTAAACCCCCCCCCCCTCCATCAAAAAGAAAGACAACCAGATCATATTATTGGGATATTAGACACTTGACAATGGGGATTTAATCAATAAAACACTCACCCTGTAAGGTCCAGGCTGTACAATCCCGACGTATATTCGCTGGAATGGATACAGGAGGTCAGAGGTCGAACACAGCAGAGTTTCCGTACCATTGGTACCGGTCTCGTTCACCAGGAGGACTCTGAGGTATGTGGAGGTCGGCGGACTCACGGTGCCAACAGAGAAACCCAACACCACGTGCTGAGTAACATTGATGGTTGGACTGATGAGCCGGGCTCGGCCTAGACCTGGATACTGGGAGGGCAGGATCTCCATATAGAAGCACACGTACTGACCGGAAGCTGAAAGACGTAAATGTGACTTTGAAATCTAGAGATATATCTTAATAACCACGGAACAATAGTGGAAGAAGATTCAACGTTTACGATGACTTATAAAGAACGAAAGTGACTACAACGAACACATGTTTGAAAAAGATGGGTATCACTTAAATGGAGACGGTACTAGAATCCTGGCGTTCAATCTCAAGAAGAAAGCCACGAATGCCCTGGGGCTCCCACCGGCCGGCCAAGATCTTTCCGTCGCCTCAATTCTGAAAACACAGACAAGGCCAACGGGGATTACCATGCCTCCCCCCCCCCCAAGACAAAGAAGGAGGAATGGTTATCCGTCTAACAGACGAGATGGACCCGTCAGATCAGACGCGCCCAATCAGTACCGTCCCAGGAGGAATAGTGGACAAACGAAACCACCCTTCGTATCAGAAAGGGCCTATAGGAACGGTGGCACGTACTACAACCGCCCCAAGTCGCCCAGTCCTCCTAACAGTCACCGTGACTCCCCCCCACCAACGATGCCAGAAGGACGGCCTCCTCCTGCCCCTCCTATGTTCCGTCCTAAGTAGCCTAAGTCCCCAGTAGAGGCGTACAGCGCGCCTCCGAACAACGTTAGACGTCCCGGCTGGTTCGGACCTCCCCCCTACCCGTTCTTCAACATGATGGAAGGAAGTTGGTTCGGGCGTCAACACGACTCATCTTTCGGACTCAATGAAAGACCTCGCCCATATGGTTCAGCTTGAACATGTGCCTTTCACGGACAAAGAACTTGAACAAGAGACTGATAACTGAATCTAATATTAAGAACTTTGGTATCTCATTTGGTTTTTGGAACGTTCATGGATTAGGTAATAAGTTAGAGGATAGCGAATTCGTTAGTCAATTCAATGGGTTTGACTTCTTCTCCCTATCGGAAACTTGGCACTCAGGTGAGTTAACTTTTCCTGATTTTTTACATTTTAGCAGCACAAGAACAAAATCTAAGAGAGCCAAGCGCAACTCAGGCGGCATACTTTTTCTGTTTAAGAAGCAATATAAGAACTTTGTTACCAAATTAGAAAGTAAAAGTGAAGACATTTTATGGATCAAATTACGAGATAAACAGCTGTTTAACCATACTACTGATATATACATAGCAAATGTTTATATAAGCCCCAATAGGTCAACCATCCACACCAGTAGAAACTACGATATATTCGATGTTCTCCAGGATGAAATCTCACACTATAGTAACCTTGGCGAAATATTGGTAGGAGGTGATCTGAATGCTCGTGTAGGAACTCTGCCTGATTACATAATTGACGACACCCCTATAGATTCCCAAACCCTACCCCTAAATTACGACTTCGATCATCCCCTCCCTAGGACTAATATGGATAAAGGACCGGCAAATGTGTTTGGTAAAAATTTGATTGATTTGTGTATAAACAGTAAAGTTAGAATTCTCAATGGGCGAACTCCAGGCGACATGTTCGGAAAGCCCACATGTTATCAACCAAAAGGATGTAGTTTAGTTGATTATGTATTAGCTAGTGAAAATATTCTATTACGTAAAACCACATTCTTCCATGTTCATGAATTGACCCCATTCTCAGACCATTGCAAACTTTCAATAATATTAGAAGGTAACGCGAAACCAGCTCCTAAAAAGGAAACAAACCTGCCTACCCGACCACACTACAAATTTATATGGGACAATAACTCGAAAGAAAAATTTGCTAACGCACTCAATTCCGCGGCATTTACTTCTAGCATGGATTCGTTTATGCTAAAAACCTACGAAAATTCTCCACAATCTTTAGACCTAGCTTTGAAAGACTTCGTATTACCATTACAAAAGGCAGGTGAAAAGTGTTTATCACTACGCTGTACAAAAAAACAACGCGGGAAATGTAAGAACCACAAGGACAAGAAAAAATGGTTCAATCAGACCTGTGCGTCTGCCAGAATCGAACTTCGCAACTTAGCCAAGCTACTGTCAAACAATCCGCGTGATCCGTATATAAGAGGCTCATACTTTACAAAGAAAAAACAGTACACCAGACTAATACGGAAAACTAAAAAAGACTACAAAGACTGTATCTTCAAACAAATTAGCTCTTTCTCCACTAACAATCCATCAGCCTTTTGGACACTCTTGAAAAACTACAAATCAAAAGACATCATTTCAACTCAAGAATCAATTCCCGACGAATCTCTCCACCTGCACTTTAAAGAACTGTATGGAGAGAATCTTCAACTCAATGCCACAGAACCCCCCAGCAGTTTCCAAATTCAGATCAAAAATAAATTATCAGAGTTAGAAGACGCACTTATAGTCGATAACAACTTAGACGTCCCGATACAGAGGAATGAAATCAAAAACGCTATCTCAAACCTCAAGAATGGCAAGGCTTCTGGAAATGACTTAGTTCTAAATGAAATGCTAAAATGCTCCCCACACACTCTTATTAGACCACTTACCAAATTATTCAACTTGTTTATGTCCGCTGGCTATTTCCCCCAGGAATGGTGTAATAGCCACATTGTCGCCCTACATAAGGGCGGGGCAAAAGATGATCCCAGTAACTATAGGGGGATATCAGTTACTAGCTGTTTGGCCAAGCTGTTTACTTCCGTACTTAACTCACGCCTCACCACTTTCCTAGATGAAAATAAACTTATATCGCCCAACCAAGCCGGCTTTAGGACGAAATTCAGAACGAGCGACAACCTCTTTGTGATAGACACACTTCTAAGTAAATATCTTTCGGAAAATAGACGTATTTATTCATGTTTCGTTGACTTTAAGAAAGCCTTCGACTCCGTTTGGAGAGAAGGACTCCTCTACAAATTGCTAGATTCGGGAGTAGGTGGAAATTTTTATAAGTTAATTAAATGCATGTACTCCAAACCTCAGACATGTGTCAAAACATCATCCGGGCTAACGCCGTCATTTGCAACTGTGAAAGGTGTTAGACAAGGGTGTAATCTTAGCCCGACACTTTTTAATCTTTTAATAAATGATTTAGTACATATACTTGATGATATTGAATGCTCACCGCCCTCTCTACATAGTTTATTTGTATCGTGTCTGTTATACGCAGACGACGTTGTATTACTTTCCGAGTCCGATAAAGGACTGCAAAGCGCTCTAAATAGATTGAAAGACTTCTGTGCCAAATGGAGACTTCAAGTTAATTAAAGAAACGAAAGTTATTATTTTAACAAATCTGGTCGGTCTTTCCCACACCAAAGTTTTATGTTTGGACAGGACAAAGTGGACATAGTCCAGTCCTACTGCTACTTGGGCCTGAATATTACCTCATCCGGTAGCTTCTCTCTTGCAAAAAAACAGCTCTCACTCAAAGCAAGGAAAGCCATGTTTAGTCTCAAATCTTTACAACGTTCTTCTGTCTCTCCGAATTGCCTGCTCAGAATATTTGACGCTTGCATCAAACCATACTCCTGTATGGGTGT